CCCCCCGTTGGTCGCGGAAATATAAATAAACCTGCTGCCTCGTCTGTATGATCTGTTTGCCGTCGTTGATCCCAACAGAATCCTAGATTTTATAAAGGCCCTTGCCCTTTACGGCAAATTGTGAATCAAATTTTCATTAAAATATTTTCTGTTACAAAGGCTGTCCCACAGAAAACCGGAAAAGGGCCATAAAAGCGCCAATCTTTTTCCAATTATAATGAAAATGTAACACATCATACCTCAACATGTGCTATTTTTCTCAATGTAATCACCATCCCGCTGGACGCATTTTTCCCATCGCTGGATCAGGAAGAAGATACCTTCCCTGAAGAATTTTTCGTCAAGGGATTTCAACCAATCTTTCACGTCTTCCACGAGGTCTTCGTCGTCGGTGAATCGCTGTCCAGAAATATGGCGTTTCAAATTACAGCCAAATTCCGGTTTTCCCTGGGACAGCCCTCGTAATTAAAAGTATTTTAAAAACTAAGAACTTATTTACCTCAAATTTTTAACATTTTAACATTTTAAAATCTGATTGTTGACCCGAGCCCAGCTGTGCAGGGAACTGTTGTTAATGCAACCAACTTGTGTTTCGCGCACTCATATGACCTTATGCAGTTGCAAGCGCCGTAAAACTCCTACAAAAACAAACAAAAGCCTATTAGAGCACAACATCAAAGTTAATCTGAGATGAGAGGCAAGTGTGATCTCCGTCACGTAAATAACCCTCGTTTTGTATGCCTGTTTTTTTACCTGCTGTCTTTTGTTGTTGTTGTTGTTCTAGAAAAATCCCAACTCTAACACTTAAAAGAAACTGTTTAATTTTACAGTGAAACCTGGTGTTCGGTACAGAGAAATAGGAAATGTGATACAGAAGCACGCCCAGACGAATGGATACTCAGTGGTTCGCAGTTACTGTGGCCATGGGATACACGAGTAAGTTATTTGTAAATCTCATTATGTGGCTTCCTATCCTGCTAAGGTGTTCATTAAAAAAACAAATGCATTAAATAGTGGTGTATTTTGGTAGTAAAGACATCATTGGAGTGTGCATTAAAACTTTGGACAGGGTGTATCATTTTGTTTGTCCCATTTATAACAACCTGTGACCAGTCCTTTGATAATTTTCTTATACTTATAGTTACTGATAGCTGAATCCAATGAATGAAGGTTACTATTTTTTGTAACTTATTTCTAAAAATATATTTTACCCAAGAATGTTCTTTTGTACTCTATTCACATGATCCAGTGGCCAGATTAGCCATCCTGAGCATGAAGACAATAACATTTTATGCCTCAGCAGAAGTAGAATTTTTATGTTGAAATGAATAGAATCAATGATTAGCAAGTGGTGGAAGTGTAATGGATTAGACATTAGTGCTTTAACTTAATTAGGGAGAGGTTACAGTAGATCTACAACGTTGCGAGCGCCGTAAAACCTTATACTATACAATACAATACATACAGATCTACAACTCTAACACTTGAAAGGTCAGGATATAGCTTTGTTGTACATTAAGTTATTTATAGGTTTCTTGCTTTCTGTTTTATTTCAGATTGTTTCACACTGCTCCAAGCGTACCTCACTATGGCAGTAAGTCTTTCTTTTTTTTTTTCTTTCTTTTTTTTTTTTTTTAAGTGTGTTTCAGCCTGTGTTACAGCCCCGTGGGTCGGGAGGATGTAAATAGACACACTGCCTCATCTGCAGGAGGTGTAACCCCTTCATTGACGAGGTGTTGCGCACGGACCCCAACCCTCTGGGATCCGGATGCGACACCGACTTTGGTGTATCTTCCTTTTTTTCTTCCTTCTTTCTTTCTCCTTCCATCTATTCTCCCACCGCTGACCGCATGTGCAGCAAAAAGAGAGGTCACCCATCCCACAGAGTGGGCGCCTTGTTGACTTTGAGGTGCAACGCGCGCGGAGGGAAACGGGGTACCTGGCGGTTGAGGTGAGATCAGCCAACGGACTGTCCTTTGCCAACACACCGCTTTGGCCCAGGTTTTCGTCTTAGACAGGAGGGTGGCATGGCCCATGCCACTCAATGGGTTGGGAATTGAAACATCTTTAAGTCTTGGGTCCATCTTGACGGGAGGGTTTTATGCACTTTCGTGAAGAGTATAGCTCCGGGGTAGCCCTGGCATAGCTCTGGTCATCCAAGCAATGTGTCCCCTTGTTGGGCTCAATGGCGGGTGGGGAGCCCCGGAGTTGAACAAATAAAAACGCTCACATGGAACCTTCTTCAATAAAAAACCCTTCCCCAACTCCCAACGTTACAAAAAAGTCTCGGCTTGCGGAAGCGAGTGCGTCCCCTGAGCCGAGCAAACCTACCCCTAATGGAAAAAGGAACTTTACGGCTGCTTCTGCCCTCCCCCCTCTCATAGACCATACGCAGCACCGATGGGCATAAAAAGTTCACAGATCTAAACCTTTTCATAACAGGAGATGAACTACAACAGGTTCTGGAATACATTCCTACGAATGTCCAGAAACTTGTGTGTCCGAGTGACACCAAAAGTTCAACCAGTCGAAGGGCGTGGTCCACAGCCATGAGCTGAAGGGCTGCTCAAACCAAGAAATTGTGGATAACTGCGAGGGTGTGGTCGAAGCCCGCTGAATTACTCTTCGGCGGGGGGAAACCACACTTGAAATGAATACGATAATTCTAACTTTCGATTCGTGCCGCCCTCCAGTCACCGTTCGAGCATCGTACTTGGTCTTGGACGTGCGACCCTATATGCCAAACCCTCTGCGCTGCTTTCAGTGTCAGAAGTTTGGCCATAGTCAGTCGCGATGCCAACGTGCAGCCGTGTGTCCTCGCTGCGGCAAGACTGGGCATCCTGAGAAGGAATGCAAGTCTAGTCCTTGCTACCCAAATTGACAAGGCCAGCACACATCCTTCAGCAAGGATTGCCCGACTTGGATCCAAGAACGCGCTATCCAAGAGTACAAAGCGCGAAATGGCTGCTCTTTTCAAGAAGCCCGCAAAGCTGTCTGCTGCCAGTTTTGACCCCGGTCCCTGGCCGGTCATATGCGAGCGCACTCCGACCTGTCACGAGGTCGGCCTGTGCTTCCACTGTCGACCCCCGGAACCCGCGGTCAACAAGCGACTTGCTGCCTCAAGACCCAAAAAGGTTCTCCCTATCCTTGTGGTACCCACCTTTCAGGTGCCACTGACAAACCGCCATGGGGTTCTGAGGGAGGACGGGGTGGACTCTTCCTCCGCCCCCTCTTCTCCCCCTACTTCTCCCCCTCCCCCCTCTCCTTTCCCTTCTTCTTCTTCCACCTCACACCTCATCCCTCTGATCATACTCTGATGGAGCGTGAAGTGTTCCCTCCTCCCTTTTCCCAGCCCCCTCCGACTGCTCCACCTCCCCCCTACCCCTACAGCAGACATCCCCCTACCCCACCAACCAATGGAGGAGGACAGCTCCGACACCCCTCCCCGGACTGACTCAGGGAAGGGCGGAGTCCGTCACTCCTCCAAATCCCCCACTAGACCGCCGTCCAATCCAGGGCTCACTTACTTACTATCCGTTACGCCATCTGGCGTTTAGGGCAGCGACAAAGGATCTCCAGCTCTGTCTGTTTTGGGCCATCTTGGTCGGCATCCCCCACGAATGATTCCAGGACTTCATTTCACCCTGCACAGACCAATCATGATCTGCTCAGTCTACATCCCACCAAATTACCCCCTCGAAATAACCCAACTAAATAACTTAAATTATTTAAAATAACTTGGATTCAACGAACGCATAAATGAGCAATCTCGGATTCAATAAAGTCGCCTGCACTGCAGGATGAACAGTACTCGCTGACGTGGCTGCGCTCATTTTCCTCCCGCAACGAACTTTATTTATCTATTCTCAGATACCATCCATGGCACCTGCAGGGTGATCAATTATTCGCTCAGCCTATTGTTTATAGATCTTATGCAACCAATCAGCAGCCTTCTTTCATACCAACACATGCGTTGTGTGCACGTGTCTTAACGTGTGTCAGGGACGCACGGGCAGCTTGCACACATGTGTCTGTGTGTACATGTGTCTCGGGTGAGGGGTAACTATTGGTCCGGGCGTGGTGGTACAAACTTGTCATTCATTTTTCCTGATCAGAATATTACAACAATAAGCTAGTTTTGACATAAATCTACGTAATGAATTGTGTGCTGGTCTGTGGAATCAAACATTGCCCTGTGGGTGGTTGGCGGGTGCTCTGGTGTGGTTTGCTCCTTCTTTCCTATCAAACAGCTATCGTCCTTTTCTGTCCTCCTTTTCTGTCCTCCTTTTTTTGTGTTTGTTACTCTCTTGTAACACCTCTAATCTTCGGCACTTATATAACCTTAATGTGTTGCAAATGCCGTAAAACTCTTACTTTAAAAAACAACATTGCCCTGTGCTAGGCTCTACACATCAACACAAATTATTGGGCAAATAAAATGCCATAGATGTCACTGGTGTGCACTTGAACGAATGGGCCCTTTGGCACAATGTGTGCTTCAGTGAACTTTCCTGGACTTTTACAGCATTGTTTCGGTACGGAATAAAAAAACAAAACAAAAATGCCTCTCATTTGAAACCTTGCTAGATTGAGGAAGTCAAAAAGGGGCTTTAAAAAAGCAGGCATTTCAGGGTAGCCTACCACTTGTTACTTCCCTTTCTACATTACTTACTCAGTGCCTGTTATTGTAACTATCTACACAAAAACCTCATAGCGAACATTCAGATTAAATAAAATTGAAGGTCAAGCCCAAAGACTTCATTGAATCTGAGTTTTGCCGTACACAGGAAGCTGTGCAAGTGCATGTGAGTTAAAAATAATGTTTTGCTTTATATTTCAGAAAACAAAGCAGTTGGCATTATGAAACCTGGACAAGTGTTTACAATAGAGCCTATGATTAATGAAGGTGAGGATCCCATTTATTTTGAGTTTTTTGTTTTATGCTAGTATTTGAATTGGAGTGGCTGCTGAAAGTTCCGATTTTTAGTCAAAGTTATGGATTTGTGAGAATTGGGCATTTTCGGCATTCTCAACTATTTCATTACCTAAAAACCATCTGGACCCTTATTTTGTCATAGATCAGTCGTGTTGCTCACCACCATGTCCTCCTAAAGTCCCTTTTTTTTTTCTTTATCATCCGTTTTCTGAAAGCACATCCACAGCCAGATCATTAGACATTTTCCCACAGAAACTCTAATTACACTTCTACTAGACATATACGACATGTGGCGGTCTTTCCATTCTCTTTTTTCCTCATGGTGCATCCTCTACCCGGAACTCTTGGACAGATTCTTGTCAGAAGTGCAAGTGTTTGTTCTCATTATAAATCTCGCTCTTGCCCTTTTTAACTCCCAGTGGAGCATAGGCCATCAACAACATTTCTCCAGTGAAGCCTGTCCTGTTCATCCTTTTCTAGCTGTTTCCATGATGTCCCGGCCTTTTCCATTTGCGCATGTACCGCTCGCCTCCATGTCATCTTTGGTCTTCCTTTCTTACGTTTTCCTTGTGGATTCCATGTCAAAGCTATGATGCTTGTCTGGGGTTTCCTCAGGGTGTGCCCAATCCATTTCCATTTCTTCACCTGTATTTCTTCCTTTACTGGCCTTTGGCTCATTGTTTCCCACAGTTGAGCATTTGTCATTTGGGACTCGATCGTACCACTTATCCCCACTGTCCTTCTAACCTTAGACATCCATTTATGAAGCTCTGCAGTTTCCTTGCTTCTGTTGCTGTGAGTAGGTACCGCAGGCGAGCCGTTTTCAAGGCAGACAGCTACGGCTGGAGCCAGATTTGGACAACTTCATCCAACTATTAGCTGGTTTTAATTTTGGTAAACACTAATAAAAATTATACCACTGTTTTCAGTGTCTTTCCTTCTCCATGGTGAACGAAAAACTGATACTTATGATTGCATATTTAGTTTTTAATTGACTAAAGTTTAACACGGGAAAACTCGGCCGTCTCGCAATTTTGCGCGCTTAGATTTGGGGGGGTACTTGTTTTAAATTTCGATTTCTCAGTCGTGAATCATCGAATTTTCTTGCGGTTTGAAACATAAAAATCTGGGATTCCAGGAGAATTTCCGGGGAATGTGTTTATGTTTTTATTCCGAGCGGAAAGCTTGAGTAGTACGATGTAAAGACGAAGAAAGCATTTTAAAATATGAAATTCGACACAAATCGGGCTATACGTGCCAGGATCATATTCCTAGACATCTCTACCATCAAGTTTATGTGTTTAGAAAAGCCAACTACATTCCACGAAGTAGAATTATTACTTTTTCTGAAGTAGGGTAACATTACAACCACTTTCGGGAGATCGTCATTCTGCCATTGCGGCTGTTCCATCTTCCATTTCCACCCCCTCTGACTTGACCCAACTAGCAGACGATTATAATGATGGTTCAGTAAAAGAAACATTCGATAGATCTGTTTATGGCGTCAATTTATTTAAATATTATCATAATTTTCTTTTAGGATACTTATGAATATCGTGTTTTGAAAAATAAGACTAATCGGCCACCACTTGCCGTGTGGTTGGATTGTTATTGTTTCGTGGGAATCACGCCGACCTACATTTCCCCCACCTCATAGTGAATTAATTGCGATCTATACAAATGTATCGCTTCGTGGTGGTATTTTTGCTGTCTTTTCAACTAAGAACACCTTATTTATTCTAAATGCATCGAAATTTAAGCATCTCTGGTCGACAAAGTGAAAGAATAAAGCCGTGAAGAGTTGAACTGGGAGTTCTATTTATAGTAACATGTCATCACACACTGCTAAACACTCGGAAGGGGGTTACCGGGTGTTAGTGTTACCGATGGAAATGTTCGTAGATCTATTGTTTGGCATTTAATTCGGTAACAAAAAAGGCTAGATCTACGTTCTTGATTGGTGGATATATTCAATTTATTGAATCAACCAGCCTTTTTACGTATTCTTAGACTTAGTTAGACTTAGATGTCACCTGATAGGCTAATTGGAGATGCCCCCCCCCCCCCCTTCTTCCATCCACTTACTGGACACACGATGATACATTGTATTTCCCCAGCCACTGGTTTCTTTCTCAGCTAAAATGATAAATAAATCTAGAACTACATCTATATTATACAAGATGAACCACGGTAGAACGGTATGTTGATTTAATTCCAATTTTTAAACCCCCAGAGCAGAAATCTTTATTTTCTGAACCAATATTGTCCACATCTGAAATGTTTGGAAGGTTTTTTTCTTTCTATAAACTAATTCACTGTATAGAGCCTGAAAAGAGCTTTAATTTGATATATAATTCAACCTTGTAGCACAATTTGTTGATTTTATATGAATTTTTTTCCAGTCGGCAGACGTTATAATTTTCACTCAATAATGGCAGGTTTTTGTGCATTAGGGCCCTATAATGGAGTGTTATGAGAGGTTTTAGTAAACAGTTTTCATTTGGCCCCGTAGAGCTTTCATTGAGCTTTAATTTGATGTATGATTTAGCCCTGTAGCTTAATTTGTTCATTTGTTGTGATGCTTTTTGCCCGAGGATGTACCAGAAATCCCCTAATTTTTTTCCAAGAGGCGTTTTTTGCACCGAAGCCCACTTCAGAGGAGTCTAGAAAAGTTACTTATGGTCAGAGAGGTCTGAAAAAAATTCAGCTAAGTCTATGCATGTATTAGTAATGATTATGTGATTTTCACTAATGAGGAGGCAGTTTTGACTAATTTGGAAGAGGTTAAAATAGGGTTCTGAGCTCTTAATGACAAATTTTGGCATTTATTTTTAATTTTTGAAGGCCTATATCTTGGAAACCAGTCATTCTAACATGCTTTGATTTAGAGATATCAATGTTTGTGTTGACAGCTCTGGGAAAAACAAAGTTTTAATTGATTTGATCATGCACTTTGTATTTTAGAACACCTCAAACATGAGTGAAAGTCGCAGTTGAAAAGGTTTCGTTCAAAAATAAAACTTTGAAATACCATATCTCGATTGATTATTGATGGATTTTGATAATTCTTTTTTTAATGTTCTTGTTTCATAGAGTAGATTTGAATCCCTGAGGTTTAAACGTCAATATTGTTCAAAAAAAATTTCGCTTGTGGTACCTACTGTGAGCCACCATGTCTCTGAACCATACAGTAGAACAGTCTTCATGTTTGTTTTGAAGATCCTCAGCTTGGTGTTCAGTCCCAGTTCCTCAGACATCCGTATATTCCTGAGGATGATGAATGCTGCTCTTGCCTTTTGGATTCTGATCTCATAAATATATTTGTCATATTTGCTACATGAAGCCCCTCCCACCAGTTTCATTGTGGTCACAACATGACTTATGCTTTTCAAAAGTTAATAGCAATGAAATTGCAAGTCAACATCTTGTTAGGATCAGGGTGAATGATTTACCACCTATTTTTTATTTGTTCAGGCACATGGAGAGATGAACTTTGGCCAGACAACTGGACTGCTGTCACTCAGGACGGAAAACTGTCTGCGCAATTTGAGCAGACTCTGTTGGTAACAGACAGTGGATGCGAAATTTTGACGAGACGCAGGAATCGTGATGGGCAGCCTCATTTTTTGGACTCTATGTCCTGATCCTCATGTATTTGTTAATCCATGGTTTGCCTTAAACTTGCAAAAGGTGGTTATAATGAAGTTATTTCAAGGTTGCATGTAGTGTAGGCAGTTCTGGCAAGTTTACGAAAGCCACACTTTTTTAGATCAGGTGAAATGTTAGAAATTGATCCACACTTAATAATAGAAGTAACTAGTTGAAGCATGACAAATATGGGAGGGTACCTTAATCCTTTCATTGCCGAGGGTATGTGTGCCTACTGTCGGCACTTATTCTCAACTAAGGTCTACTTTACCCAGGATCGGACCGCAATGTCATGTCTCAGTGTCAATGGACTCATGGCCTAGATCTAGCCTACTCCTGACATCAGACCCCAGGTCTTCAGTCATGTTACTTTTCTTACCTCCTTCATTCCCTATATCTCCCCCTATCTTGCTCGAAATTTTGAATAATTTGCAAATCTAAGTCTAAAAGTGAAGTTTTCTATCTTTTTAAATTTGTTTATTAAGTGTATACGTTTGCGAGAGGACACAGCTGTCCACAAAACTTGAACTGTGTTTTATTGATTGCTTGCAAGCTTAACAGTAAAGTAAAACTAAAAAATTTTGTTACCTATCCTCTAATGCACATTTTTTATTCCAGAATACAGAAATCCATGCAGTGCTTGTGGCTAAAACTCCAAAGAAGAATTAGAGTTAGAGCCAGATAACTAGTGTGACATACATGTAATGTCATAGGCAACCAGGAGGGGGGGCACAAAGCTAAAAATAAAAGTTAAGCAATTTGGCAATGTGCCAAGTATGTCATAAAAGGCAACAAAGCTTACAAAGAGGTTTATGGATTTGATGTTGATTATTTGCAACGACTGGTGTTCTTTGTCTGATACAGTTTTGTTTCTCATTTCCTTGGCATTTTCTTTTGTTTTAATTTATTCCACTAATAGTAGTAGACTGGGATGAGCACAGTTCATTTACCCATTAAACTTAAACAATATAGTCCAGGACCCTGCAAAGAGAAATTTTATAAGCACCTGTTTATTTCACAGAGAAATGTATCAAGTTTTATCAAACATAACCCCTGTCAGTTGGTGCATCCATTGAGACCAATATTTAGTTCATTCATTAAGTTTCTAAGAATGCCAGGCATTTTGGTACCTGTTTCAAAAAGCAATCATGACCTTATTATTCACCACCGAACAATGAAGTTAAGCTTGCTGTTTTGTAGGAGTTTTACACTCCCACCAACACTATTTCTGAATTTAGACAATTTAAGATTAGGAGGCGGGTTTCCGACCCTGCCTTTCAGAGTTTACCTGGGCTGAGAAGGATACAACATCCCAGCAAAAAGAACAAAATACTCGATGAAGTTGTTCTCCCAACTTGAGAATGGAACTCTTGGTCTCCTGCATGCGACAGCGAAGCACCTAACCGTTAAGACCGCAGACACCTGTTCTTTGCATGTTAAAAGGCAATAAAAGCATACTGTGCATTATCTTTTCCAAATGTGTCACTTTTTTTTAAATTAAAAAAAAAACCCAACTTTTAAAAATGAATTGAAATTATAGTAGTCTCCGCTTATGATCCCACCACCACTTACAACCTCGGTTCACGATCCTGCATAACTTTTACCACAGGTACACTAAAGTCACCCCTAAGGTCCTGCTCTACTCTAAAGGACAACATTCGCTTAAGTACCGCACAGAACAAAAGCGCGGGTGAGCACGGTTGATCGACCAAAGTGTGAAAATTTGCAATCATTCAACATTGAACTTTCATTGTGTCACAATTCAGCCACTCTTGTGGACGTGATCACATTTTCACGGTAAAATTTCTCGATAAAACATTTATTGATCAGTACAATGTTTGCCCCAGAATGAATCCCACTGAAGTGTGAACTCGACAACCTTTTTCCCCCTCAGCATCGAACTCGCAACTGAGCTCTCCAACTGAACTTTTATCATACACTGGGTTGGTACGGTGCAGTCACAACACAATGGTGCGTTACAACAGCGGTGGGACAACTCAGTCAGAGATGGAAAGCTGTTAATTTTGAACAGGGAGGAGCAAAAGCATCAGGGTTGATCTTGAAATTCACAATTAGACTAATGAAAATGGCATGCCTCGTGCCAGTGTGATTGGTCATCTAGGGTGACCCCTCTTTGTTCATCATTAGTCATAAAGCCACCCCAGGGGTCAGTTACTTTATTTCGGAGTGAGGGAGGATCATTTTACTTTTACAGATAGTGGGCCTGACCGTGAGTCCCCATGGATTCTCCCCTTTGTGCGTTGGCTAAGATCCCGTTCGCCTAAGATACCACATTTTCCTTGCTCTCAAGCTCCGGGATAGTTGGCAGAGACTACTGCACTAGGTGTAGATTGCTAAATTAACTGTCACGAACCCCCTCCTACAGCATACCACTAGCCTCTACAATACTCGGAACCCTCAACATAAAGTAGGTCAGCATCACTGTCATCCTCTTCTTCAGCACAAGAGAAAAGTCTAGATCCAACCCGGCCCATTAACATAACATGGGTCCATCAGTTTAAAAATGTCGCAATACACATTGTATTGGTTTGCCATCATGTCAAAATTCATTTCAGGCTGTCCAAAAAAGAAAACAACTTTTATTCTATGTTATCAGGGGATGTGTTACTAGAGCAATGTACAGTCAACTCATAATAAAGAATGGCAGTTTGGTACACGGTGCCTGCCAAGACCAGCCCCGAAAACACATTGGTAATGACAGTGACAGTCTCTCGATTTTTCCTAAAACATTTTATCATATTTTTTTATTTTATGTGTGGCCATGAGTGAGTTAATCTGTCTGTACATGATCTACAGTATAACTTATTAACAGGGGTAGGTCAAAGTCAAACACAGAAGACTCGAAATCATGCGTCCGTTGAACTGTACCTGCGGTCCCTTGTTTTTTCTTCTTCTTTATCTTTGTAAGATATCCCGCCGAATTCGAGCTATCGGTGTTACACTTTATTTTGTTAATAAAGATCAAAAGAAAGCAGAATTCTCTGCCTATCCGAAAAACGTGATGTTGAACTGTGTATCTAATGTTGCACATCAAACAACTTGCAGGGCTATAGTGGCATCTCTAGGTGGCAAATAATTACCGGTACTACATTTTTTACAATTGTCCTCGAATTTCGTTCATCAAGTTTTGTTTTACATTGAATTCATTGATGCTTTAAAAGTTCAGTCCAATGCATCCCAAGTTTTATGTAGTAAATTGCTCTTTGAAGTTGAAGCACCTGTCTTGGCAACATACATGGATGTGGCACGTTTGAAATCCGGTATTTCAGAGGGGATCAGCATTTCAGTATTGCGTACAAATTTTCTAAAAATAGTTGAAAGTGACAGACGTTCTGGTTCTTTGAGTTTGAGGATTTAGATATCTTAGGATTGTTTCCTTCACAGTTGGAACTTGGCTTCCATGTCCGAGTTTTATTTCAAAAACTCAAAGTGAAACTGTCTCACAGCCGTCTATTTATTTTGGTATCATGTCTCTTTTGCCCTCAACAAAATTTTGCTGCATCAGATTCAGTTGTGAGCGGTTGGCAGGTGCTCGGGTTTGCTTCTTCTCCTTTTCTTTGTACAAAAGTTTCTGCCTAAATGCACACCATACAAAGGCACGCTCCGCTCAAACGCACACGTTCGTCAAATTGTTTTTCTTGTACAATACAAACGTTGGGTTGCTTCCTCTAATTTACGCTTCATCTGGCGAAACATGCAGACAGTACACAGATTGCATAAAAGACAACTCTTAATAACCGAATGGCGAGGCAGCACCTCACGCTGAACAAAGAGAGTGATACAGTGGAAACCTGATAACCGCGATCGGGAGAATCCTTTAAAAAAACAGTCACGTAAATGCGACGATAGCAAAGATCTCGCACCCTTCAAGAATCACTAAATTTAGGAAATGAAATGGTTGCGTCTCTTCCCCCTTTGCACACTTATATATATGAGTATGAGCCCTCCCGACCGTGTGTGTTAAGGCAGAAACTACTGCACGGGCAGGTTACTCTTTAATCCTCGGCACTTGCATCTAGTTGTGTTGTAACTTGTAAGTGCTGTAATACTCTTACCTAAAACTAATCACTGAGCCATGTCAATTCTGGAAAAACTGCTTTTATAGGTATCTACCGTTTTCTAGACAGTTTGAAATTGCTTGTCCATTTCATCTAGCAGTTTATCAGTGATTTTGTATTATTGTATTTGTACATGACATTACTATAATTTATAATCAGTCAGTTTGCTTTTTTTACTCGAACAAGAAATGCTTCTTTTGAAAACATCAGTTTCTTCAGCTCATTCCTCTGACTCTAGACCAGTGGTTCTCAACCTTTTTCAATCCGCGATCCCCTCTTGATTGTTTTGCAAGTGGAACGACCCCTTATACCCCAACCCCCAAATAAAGTAATTAAAAAAACCTTTTAATTTTTAAAAAATGCGTAGCCTACAATCCAGCAGCAGACAATTAGTAAGGCCAACATTACATAGTTAATACAGAACAATAACTGTACCTTTGATGTTTCAAATCATATTTCAAGATAGCAAGTCGAGAAAAAGGAGAGAACACGCACATACATACGCACACACACAGAGAAAAAAAAACAAGTGAGAGGGCTGTGCCTGTAATTCAGCGACCAGTCTTGAAGTTCTCTGGGAAGTCTTGAACTTGGATAAAGCAAAGCGCACAATACATGTATCATCAGCAACATCCAGCTTGTTCCTTGCTTTTGTCTTGAGTTGGACAACCACTTTCGCAAAGGTAATGCGATGCAAATAAGACAATGACTCGACGAAGTAGGGCCTACTGTTTTGCTGACCTGAGGGTATGGTTCCTGGGGTGAACACCAAACTGTTGTGCAAGAGATTCTCAAGAAACGTGTCGTGTGTTGATGAATCATGTCTCAATTCCAAAAGCTTGTCCAGGAAGAACTTGATCTCTCTCAGCTCGAAAACCTGACGTACAACGTTTACTTTCGATAACCAATAACCATCGAACTTAAGTGTAGAAAAACGGCGGGAAGTTAAAAATAGCTTCGGCTCTCAACGTCTTGCAACAAAACAAGCACAGCCTTTCCCTTCCTCCACGGTTCAGAGTTCACACTGCGAGAGGCCTTGCTGCTCGCTTCTGCAGCAAGTGGCTTGCCAGGTTGCGAGCAAGTCATGGGAGCCAAAGCAAATCATGGGAGCCAAGAGACTTTGCGAGCAAGTCATGGGGCACAAAGCAAGACATGGGACTTGCTGTGCTGCGAGCAAGATTTGAGACTCGTAAGCCTTCGATTAATCGAGCAGACTCCAGCTCTACCGCGCAGTGACACCGTGAGCGGGGTTTCTCTCTTTCCCCCTCTCTGTTTTGACGTAAGTGGCTTCGCGGATTGAAAGCAGGGTGGGGAGGATGAGGGGGTCTGACACGAGTGGCTTTGCGGATTGCTAGTTGGTGTGGACTTGAAGTTTCGGCTAGACTCAACTTATCAGATGCTGGTGATTTGATTTTTTATTTGACCAAGTGATTTGAGGCTTGTGACTTGAACTAGTGGCATACGAGCAAGAGTGGGTTTGCTACCGGGGTACAGCTCTACTACTAGGCGTACACAAATTAAACTCGGGCGAGACAGGTCTGGATGAAAATATGCACGACTACCATGCTTGCCCCTGTGGTGACCCCCTTCTCCGAAGCCAGCACTCATGTAGCTTGTCATAAACGAGGCTTCAAGCTATTATGCGTTGGCCTGTGGCCTGGGGCTAGGCTAAATTATACATTGAATTTGAAACCAAAAAAACCCACTGCAGACCAAACCTATGATTGGCCCACATAAACAGGCAGGGCAAACTGGTGTAGCCTTGTTTTGTTGTTTCTCTGGCCATGTTTAGAAGTTCAGGTGTTTACCTTTTTCCTTAAATTTCAGCCAATTGAAAAAGGAACCGTATTTTGAAAATGCCAGGGACAGAAAAAGAGAAATGTTTTAGTTTTCAGAGGGCCATGTAAATTAATTTAATTAAGCTAAAATCCTCAATGATTTCGCGACCCACAGGTTGAGAACCCCTGCCTAGACAGTATGAGTAATCTAAGTCCCTGGTGGGCTGTGCGTGTTGGTAACAGTAACTGCAGAGTTAAGCTACTCATTTTATTCCGCAGGGTCAATTTTATACAATGCTATTGCCATTGTTTATTAGTTTGGGGGAACATTAGGCTACAGTCCTCCTTGTGTGTTTGACCATCTAGGGTTAAAAATAAGAGAACATTGTTTGCTGCTTGTGAATAAAGATGGTTATATAATATGTAATATTGCGTTTCGTCGTTTGAATTACTTCCCCTTGTAGGCCTAGATTTACTACAGTGGGTGTCGCATTGAACGAGGTTGCCAGGACCGGCTTGTTGTCCTCGTTGGATACGACCTCTCGTTGAACGTGACTAAGGCTAAAGTAAAGAAAGGAGACAAGTTATTATATTATAGGATGTAGCCTACCAATACCAGTAATTAAAACAGGTGTTCCTCCTGATGACGAAAATCTCAAACAGCATCAGTGTGCGCGTGTTTGAGCTGTGCCCTGACCGTCATTTCTGCATTTTTAAATATTATTTTTTCCAGAACTCTTCTCGTGTGGAAACATACCCTCTCACATCTAGATCTACTCTAGGTTTAGATCTACATAAAGTAAAGGCGGGAGCTTTGATTTTCTGATCGGGGAAGAAAAGAAAATTGAAAAGAAATGAAGGTCTCGATCTAGAGTAATCTAGACCTACCCATCCAGAGTTCATACAGTACAGTTTCACACAGCCGCATTGCGTTCCCACCCACCCCCTCCCTCCCCTACCGTAGGCTAACCCTCGCCCATCCTCTTGGCTTTGGGGCCCAAGTTAGGAGGCAGGCTAGTTCTAGCAGTACAATGTGTTAGGAATCGGTGATGGGCCTTGTGCTTTGTGTGAGATGGAGAAGAAGGAGAAAAATTCTTCGCTTTTGGGGCCGCTAACTGCTTTTATTTGGTTATCACGACCTCGTTGAAAGCGACTTTGGTTTGTTTGCAACCTCGTTGAGCCGTCGTACATTTACAAAGAGATATAGAGGAAAAAATCGGGGATTAAGGATTGGCGATTGCCTCGTTGGAGTTTGGAGCCGACTTCTCGTTGAATGTGACCTCGTTGAATGCGGCACCCACTGTATAATTTGTAAATATGTATACATGATGTAGGCCTATTTTGAAAAACTTCTGCGCCCCCCAAGAATCTAGCATCTGCGTTTGCTGCCATTTTCCCCCCCAAACGTTGCCATGAAAGTTGCCATAATTTTCAAGCTTTATACGGGGTGCCCACTATGGATGGGATCGGGTCGATCGCCCGACTCGGTCGCGTGAAACTGAAAACAACCCCGTTTGTTTTTGTGGAGACTGAGTCGGGCGATCGGCTGATCAGTCCATAGTATTACTTTCAACACTGTGACGACGTAGCAATAATATGTTGTATATTGATAGAGGTAGCTTAATCTAAAGCACCAGAATTTCTTGTGCTCTGCAGAATATCATTTGTAATCACACAGAGTGAAAAATAAAGGTTTCACAACAGAATGAAATCAAAATCAGAACAGCACAAAAATTATAAATAAATACGATTCACATGTCATGTAGAAGTGTGCTGCGACGGCACGGTGGCGGTTTGTCATTGTGGAAATTGCACAGACTTTTTTTTATGTCCTCATGATTTCGGTGTTTGTGAGCGAAAGTGTAGCGGTGTTCTTGTTTTGTGGTAAGGCAGCGTCATACAAGGATGGATTTTGCCGAACAAGTTCGAGAAGTTTTTCATAAATTGCAGTGGAAAACTTCATTTTACTCGTTAGTGGTGATTAGTGAACCTCAAACAGCTATCTCCGCTTGCAATGCAGCAGGAAAACACACCAACACCACTACTAGGCCTAGTGTGTCGACATGTGGGCCTACATACGTGTGTGTGTGTGTAAGTGGGTGTGTGTGTTTGTCTACCAGTCGTCTCAGCCACATCGAGGCAGGCCAAAATAGTCACTTTAAAAAAAAAAATCTAGCCTCCTTCCTAGAATATTTTTAAAAAAATTGAATATACAGTGGAAACCTAGCTGATATAACAGGGACGGTGGGACCAGAGAAAAAGTCCCGTTATATCTGATCCCTGTTAAATCAAAAATGCAAGGAAAGTAAGCATTTGTGGACTAATCCAGCTGTATTTCTTCATGGGTGGGCTAGATTTAATTCTGGAGCACACCGCAGTCCCCCCCCCCCCCTCTCTCTCTCTCTCTTCTCTCTCTCTCTCTCTCTCTCTCTCTCTCTTACTTTTTACACATTGTTAACGAGCCTTTGTCTCTGCTATATTCGATTGGGCTCCGATGGGACCCTGTTACTGTTATTGACGATAACTTTTAATAGTGACAAAGAGTCGAAAAAAAACGGGGATTTAAAAAATCCCTGTTATTACCGGATCCCTGTTATTACCGGATCCTTGTTATTACCGGGCCTGCCTGTTATGGTTTCCACTCTAGTTCTACTTTTTTTAAAACGCAAAAATAAGGGTGCTCACGAGCAAATAGATTAATCATTATGACTATGAGGCGCTGATTTAAAAAGTAGGCTTCTTATTAAATCCATCCGATATTCAATGTTTTGTCAATCCATGCTCAAACCAACCTCATGTAGGACACAGAGGTACAGACGCCGCGACGGTGTCTCAAAGTTCGCCCACGAAAGCGGTCACTAAAACACAGCGACGGTTCTGCAACGGTTTCCGCGGCGGTAGGCTACTCCGTCTCATGAGAACAGCTAGTGACTAAATAAGAAAGTAGAAAGCAGAGGTTTTCAAACACCGCCGACGGACTTTTTCCGTCTCCGTTGCGTCGCCGCACACTGCTCCATGTGAATCGGCCTTTTTACTAGGGTGATGTCAACAAGTGAGAAAGAGACGAAGTGAAGTGAAGCGGTAGTGAAAATAAACTTTCTTTCTAAAAAAAAAAAAGCTTTTTATTCCCCCATATTGTGTTTGTTTTTGTGGGGTTTATGTGGGGTTTTTTAGGGTGTTTTTGTTGTTGTTGAAAAATGCAAAAATGGCAGCGACAAACGCAGATGCTAGAAATATTCACTTTAAATTTTTAAAAACCTAGTCTCTTGGATTTAATTTTTTTAAAAATTAGATCTATTACTATTAGTCTATACTATAATTTTTTTTTTAAATATATCGCAAAAGTGAGGGTGCTCGCACACGGATAGACTAATTATGTAATTATGAGGCGCTGATTTTTTAAAAATGGGCTTATTTTTTAGATCCATCTAATATTCTGTGTTTGTCAATCCATGTTCGAAAAGCGGTAGCTAAAACATGTCACCGTAGGATTATGCAATTGTGCGGCCGCGTTTTTTCTCATAATTCTGCAACACTTGCATAATTTTGGATTCCCCGCTTTTTTTTCTTTTTTCCCCCCACCTTTTTTTTTCACAAAACAATTAATTAACGCCTCGCAATCATCGACCATTCATCGTAATAGGTCTCATTTAAGTGAAAAGTTGGTTATGTCCCCTGTTAAAAGATGTTAGTTATGGGTTGGGATTTTGTTCCTTGAGCATTGAGCATGTTCAATTTTTTAAATCCATCAAAAGTTGTTCTCATTTCTGATGTTTCATATTTGACAGGTGTCCCTGGTTTTAGTAATGTGCAGGATCAGAGGTCCACATGCCTTTTTTTTTTTTTTTACATTTTTATTTCCTCTAGAAAATCTATAGAGAATCTAGATCTATAGATATATATCTACAGCTGAAAGTTACAGAGATTATATTTTGTTGTTGGTTTCTTTTCTGACTGATGTGTATTGTTTCCTTTCCAAATACACAACAAATTACTGATACTTAGAATCTATATGTTCTATTTTCAATTTTTCTGTACATAAAACATGAAAATCATGAAAATTCTTGCTGAAAAGTGCAAAACATGTCGCGAATGGTGTTACGGTAACTTGCAACTTGCATAATTTTTGCATTATTTTGCTTTTCTTTTGCATAATTTGGCCATCTAAATTTGCATAATTCTGCAGGGACAGTAAAACACAGCGAAGGTTCCCCAGCGGTTTCCGCGGTGGTAGATCTACTCAGCAGAGGACAAAGAGAAATGAGGACAGCTGGTTTTCAGATGCAGTGGTGTCCCCACGGTTGTCTCAACCACGGGATGGAGGAAGAAGAAGATCTACTCCGTCTCGTGAGAACAGCTAGTGACCAAACAGAAAGCAGAGGTTTTCAAACACAGCCAACGGACTTTTTCCGTCGCCACACGTTGCTCCATGCGAATCGGCCTTTAGGGGCTGTTCATCAAATATAATCTGACTCCTTTTTGGGGACTTTTTGACTCCCCCCCCCCCCCTTCCCATTACCCTCCGTGCTTCTGAAGAGTCCCACTTCCCCCCCCCCCCCCCCCCCCCCCCGCACTATTACATTATTCGCTTATAATACATACTACATATAAAATCCGTGTTATTATCATTGTCTTTACATAATATTCATGAAGGACATGCATGCCACGCAATTATGCGATCGTTAAAACATGCAGCGCAATCTTAAGATCGGTAAATTGCGCGGAACACACATACACAGATATCATACGTATGCACATAATAATATGCAGTTCTACATGTACTAAAAAATAATAGAATAGATCATTCAAGCAAAATAAATTCATACACTCTTCCTTACTACCGGTATAAGTATATAAGGAAAAAATTGATTCATGTCAATTTCAAAAGGGCCTTAATTACAAATAAA